ACAAGTTAACACTACTGCCCAGGTCCTGAAGTGCTTGAGAAGTGTTGGAGTTTGACATCAAAGACTTAACAAGGTTCTTCTTTAGCTTGAGTTAAAGACAAAGAGTAAATGGATGATACAGAGATTCATTGAATTGATTACGTGTGTCCTGGCTGAGGGGGAAATGGGTAAAAGAAGTAATACCTTTTTGACTTGGAAATTGTTGACATCACAGTGATCAAGCTGAGGGAGGAGTTTCCTGCTGAGGTCAGCTGTCATGTTTTGATGGGCTGGACAAAAACAAGCCAGTGGGCTGAGTCTGAGGAGACTATAAGGTAAAGATTGAATTATTGCAACAGGTTCATTGAATCCGCTATCCATAACATCTGGCGCATTTATTCATCTGCAGATTTTTGAAAGGTGTTTTTTCCCCTGTCCTTAATTTAACTATGCCCTCTCTCTTATCTGTTAAGACTTTTCCTCCTCATAAAACCCCCAAGCCGCCACACAGAGCTGAGATGTTCACTCATATACACACATTCATTCATGAATACACACTTGTTCACAGAGTCTGCACAGTTGGGGCACTCTTGAGGTCCTTGCAGAATGTCCTTAGCCACACTTGGCTTTTTGCCCGACCCGGTGTCATTATTGTGTACTGAGAAGAAGAATTCACACAGCTAAAAGAGAAAGTGAAGGAAACAAATCAACATCAAATCTTTTATTTTCTCTTTATTTATACTTTCATTATTTTTTATCCGTTCTTGCAAGACTCCCCCTTTCTCTACCCCCTTACCTTTTCTCGGGTAGAAGAGTCAACATCTTTTTTTTTTAAACCAGAGATGAAAGGTCCCAATGCATCCAACACTCCAGAGCTCATCCATTTCAGTGAAGGCTTGCAGGGCTTCATCTGGGCTGCAAAATAAATACAGCTGTTACATATCACATTCATACTGCATGGAGAGGAAGTAACATAAAAGCAGATGTACATTCACATGCAAGGATATGTTTTACTGTATACTGACTAGCACAGTTATAGGGAATTGTGATGTCCAACCCTGCCTCATAATCAGTGCTGAACACTAGCACTTGTCTGTAGAACGTGGCATGTGCTTTGATTTGGCTTCCTTAAATCTAATCTTATTTAAAGATCCAAACAAACACAATTGAAAACATTTGCATAAGAGAAGCTGCCATTTGCAGATCTAGTTCCTGTTCCCCTCCATCTGGTCTCTGTTGTTTTCTTCCTGTTTGCTTTATGGATTCTACTTTATCGTTATCTTTGTGTTTCCCTTCTCTGAAGCTTCAACATTCTCTGATAAACATCTACTTCAAAAGATGTTCAGGGACTTTTCCTCTTCTTCACTCTCATTTAGTGTACTTTTTGTCTGTTCAAGCTTCTCTGCCTTTGTTTTCCTCTTCTGCTATAGCATTAAGAATCTAATTTTAAAATAAATGTTATCTCTCAATTGATGGGAATACATGACCGGATCTCTTAATGTCCAAAGTGTTGTCTGAATTGAAGTGCTTCCATATTCTCTTACTTGATTTTGAGTCAGGTGATTGGTTTGTTGTACAGTTGAAGTCGTTCTGGAGGATCTGTTCTTTTGCCCATTTCAACACCCGAGTCCTTTGTCCTGCAGACATGACACCATACACCGACCGCAGCATCCCCATCCTGCAGCCAAAAAACACATTTTACATTTCTGAGGAAACTTCTGAGTGATACTGAAGAAAGTAAGTGCACCAACTCAGCCTCACCACTTCATCAAATTTGGGCCCACTGCTACATCAGGGAGGTTCACTCTTGAAGAAGGCATGTCCAGCACCACAGGTTTTGCAGCCGACAAAAGTGTGTCGTAGTCGTCTGAGCTGATGTTGTTCACACACTTTTTCTTCAAAGTTACCCAGGACATAGGGGCCATGAATGCTTTCATGTAGCATGTAGCCGATGATTCCTAAGGGAAATGAGAAATGGCAGGAATAAGAAGAGAACTGATTGGATATGTTACGTTTTCTCTACTTAAGATCTTGACACTAGCGCAGAGTACTGACAGGGGAGGTCTTCATCCGATTGATCATGTTTAGGAGATTCCTGCAGTTCAACATGTCGTTTGTCTAAAAAGGAAAAGAGAGAGCGAGAGAATGCCATTATCTGCAGATCAGGAGTGGTTTTAAACACACAAAGGAAACATGATAAAACATCGTCTGTATGATATTTCTTATGTGGTGAAGGTGCTTGTCTGCGTATTCATTCACACCATTTTATCCATGTCGTCTAAACGGACTCTGCCCGGTGGGTTTTTGACAGGAGACACTGACAGCAAGACACTCAGGAAAGTAGGTAGGAAGCTATTGGATCGGTCCTCATTTGTTTCCTTTAAAGGCAGCTCACTGACAGAGAAAAGGCTTACATATTAGGTGTTGTATTTCATTGTGTATTTATTTCATTTCAAGTAAAAATGAAATTCAGTTGAGCCCATTTTCATATTTTTTTGCAACACATGACTTCATGTTCATACAACCTGAACAGTATGGCAATAAAACACAACAAACAACAGAGACACGCGACAGCGATTTTCACAATAAGAGACGTGCAAAATGACCTGTCAACAAACACAGTGTTCAGCAGCGTCATCTCAGGCATCGGGGATCCTGTTACACAAGAAGCGTCATATTCATTATTGAACAGTTCAAACACATGAGGACTGGTCTTAGAGTTTAAAAAAAAAATGTTTACTGTGTGGCTCATGTAACAGAGGATGCTCATAATGTACTCAAATAACACAAACATAAGAAGGACTACGTTTGTGATGAAGAGTGAATCACTCAGTCTTACCATTTTTCTTGCACTTCTTCATCTGATAAAAAGAGAACACAGCATTATTGACACAATATTTAACTTTTTAAAAGCACTTTGCTGAAGGAAGATTTTTTTTTCTTATTATTTTTGCCTTCATGTTAACAGAAAAAACAAACTGATATAAACAAACCAAAGAGTTTTGGATTATTAGAACTAAGGTAATGTGATATAACAGTAAATAACGCAATATATTATTGTGGATAGAATGGGAATAATAGACAATGAAATATTTTATTTTTGAACTTGACAATTGATCACTTTAAATGTTTCAGAGATAAGAGTAGAAATTATTATTGAGAATATTTTTGCATTTAAATAACTTTTGGTAAAATGAGAACAAAATAAGCTATCTTAATAAAAATAGACTCAACACAGAAACCATGTGCTGTGTAGTTCAAAACCTTTTTGCATCGTAAAAGAGAGGACGGATGTGATTTCCAATGCAAATACTTGAAATGGACAAAATCTAAGCTCCATTTGTGATGGCATCCTAATACAAAGTACGTCTGTGTAGAAGAGTGTTATAGAAGGGTGTTTGAAAACTCTAGCAAAAAGAAAACTAGACTGTTTGGGAGTAGAAAATGTAAATGTATCAAACATGGTTGTTTTGCAAACTACTTCCATATTCTACAAAGCACACTCGAGAAATTACATACCAGTCTTCTGGCCATGTGTTTGAAGGCCTGCACATCTCTGGGCATATCATCAGGTTTCAAAGCTGAACAGAAAAAAACAAACAAACAACAATTATCACCTGAAGACCCACAGTCAGGTTCAAATTAAACAATATTTACGTACAAGAGGAAACACTGTGAAGACTTACATGAAACTGCACAGGCAACCATGAGCAGGAAGAAAAATGTCCCTCCTTTTGGAGCCATGTTGAGAAGAAGAGGGTGCTTCTATGTTGGAGACAGAAATGGAAACATGTGATTATTTTTCATCAGAGGTTTGTTATGGAATAAATCTCCATGAGAGACACCTCCAGCTTTCTAACTAACTTCTTCCTCTGTGGTTTTGTGATCAAACTTCACTATAGTTACCATCCTTATAACTCTTCCTGTGGGAGGCTCTATGGACTGTGGGGGATAACATGCTGTGATAAACAGGTTGATAATGTACATGATGTGCCGTGAGGAACTTTTATTTCAGCTTCTCCAAACGGATTAGACTTAATCAAAGCGTCTTTCTTATTGGAGTTCATACTTAAGGATTTGCATTGAGTATTTACCTATCTTAAATTTGACTGTAAACTATCAGTTCATTTGACTTCTCATTTGGATATGCCTTGTGTTTACCTAAAATCATTTAAAAAAACAATAACCCAATAATAATAGAATACATAGCAGCTCTTTAATAACACATTTTTCCAATTCCTTTTTCAGTCTTTTGGAAAGTCAGTTAAGTCAAAATAGATATACATTTTCCAGATAGCAGAATCAGAATCGTTTTTATTGCCAAGTACATTTACACATACAAGAAATATGTTTAGGTGTATTGTTGCAAAAAATGTTAACAAGGGAAATAAAGCAAAATAGCAAGAACTTAAATAAAGTAAAATATAAGAAATAATATGATACTGAAGATAATAAATAAGACAATTTTAACGTAAAGTCACGTTTCATACTTGTATATGCTTAAAAGTTACTACTTTAACTGAATTACAAACCTGAAACTATCAACACAGCAGAAAGAAAATAAAAACATTATTGATTTACATTCAAATCATTTACTTACAGAATCTCAGCCTGCTTCTCGGTAGACTCCAGACACAACGCAGGATGTAAAATCAAGATGTAGACAAAGTGTATGTTGTTCCTCTGCCTCGCTCTCTCACATCTGAGATGAGCTAATTATGTGGTTACCTTTACTCAAAGCAGGTGCATTGTGTTACAACGTCACTGCTTGTGTGTGTGTGTGGGTGTGAGAGAGAGAGAGAGAGAGAGAGAGAGAGAGAGAGAGAGAGAGAGAGAGAGAGAGAGAGAGAGAGAGAGAGAGAGAGGTTGGGATGCCTTCTATAATTCCACAATGAGTAAACACAATTAGAAAAATGTAAGATAATCATGTTTAACCCAATCATTTCATATAACTCTGAAAGACTTCAAACCCTGACACATTGCAAAGTTTCACGCTGAATAATAAAGGAAGGAGTCACGACTAAAGGAGCGGAAGTTCATTTATTTTCTGAGGTTTCATAACAGAACATTTATTTTACCCCTTCGATGTTTTATCGAAACAAATCCCAGCAGAACAAGCCGGGCTGGGTATTAAAGTCACATCCAAACACCACAGCCACATACAAAGGAAGTTAAACAAATTTTAAAAGCTCTATTGACTCTCTCCATTGAGGAAATAAGCAAACATGAAGCACAAGCTCTTGGAAAAAACAGCCACGATGGCTGAATGGTCGGTTGAATGGTTGCAGTATGTGTCCTCTTAAAAGGAAGGGTAACTCAGTCTGTTTGCTATTCTTTACCTGACTCACCTGTATGCCAGATAGTGGTCCACATTTTTGTACAATATTAGCAGACAGTCAGGGATCAAGTATAGAACATTTTACTGTTAAGGCCATCAAGAAGGCAAAGGTGAAAGAAAGCTGAACGTTTTGGTGGAATAGGTGGCAATAGACAAAATCTCCAGCACTCAGTTGTTTCTTCACAATCATGGTGATGATGAGACAAACAGCAAAGCGTTCAATGAACCTCTAATTACACTCATTAGGAACGACTGTTATCATCTGTCCCTTTAGGTGGCTTCCGCAATATGTATGATGGCAATCTGCACATAATGCTGTTAGCTGGACAATTTGTAGACTGACAGAGGGTGGAAAAGCACATTTGTGAGATTAAGTCCATGAATGTTTTACTCTGTGCAGACACAAAGGATAAGTAGCGTGAAAGTGGATGGACGTGTTTCAGTCCTCGTCATTTTTTCCTTCCATTTTTGAGCCAGTAACCACCTGAAGGTCAGGGTTGGTGAAGTGATCTGAAAAACACCACAAACACGTGTTTGTAGGCAAGGATATGCTTGTGTGTGTGTGAAGAGTTGTATTAATTTGCATCTTCATTTTACACATTCACAGCTTCTCATTTAGGGTTTGCTTTAAGGATAATATTGACTTTAAGAAATGGTTCACATTTTTTTCTTAATGTTGAAAGACCCATTTAGTTTTCACTGCAAAGTTTTGGCACTTTAGGTTTCAGCATTCTTTACCCAAACTGGAGTTAAAAGTGCATTCTGATTTTATTTTATTTGACTATTTTCAACACACTTGATAAACTTTGATATAACATCAGTTATTTCTTAATCTGTGTTTGATTGATTTCAGTCAACAGATGAAGTAGAAAGAAAAAACAAGGAGAAAAAAAATCCAGACTACCTACATTATACTCATTAGTTGTATAAAATATCACAAGCACTGTTCTTTTTTTAATACTATATCACCTACACCTTCTCACCTCAGACAAAGAAAATGTCATTATAATAATGTGCTATCTAAAACATTACAATAAACAATTGACCATATACTTGTTTGTGTGTGTGTGTGTGTGTGTGTGTGTGTGTGTGTGTTGTGTGTGTGTTGTGTGCTCACCTGCAGCAAACTCATGGATGTCAGAAGGTCTTTTGAGAAGAATGTCTCTGTGATAGGATGACAAGATATGCAAATAGTAACTTTATCAGCGCTTAACTTGTATCGAGCATTCCACGCCCTTTAAGCGTTCAAAAAGTAACGCACATTAAAAGTTGGTCAGCTGAAGGTATTCTTCACACTTTAGGATTCAACAGGAACCTGAATGGACGCTTCAGGACCCATTAATATTTTTAAAAGCTCAGGCCTTTTTAAAGGAATAACTTAGTTGTGATAGTTCACATGCGCATAGATTTGATTTAATTTAGCATCAAATTGTTTTAAATAGCCTAACATCAAAACATTGTGTTTTTAAGATCTTTGGCTCCACCTAACAGAAAAAGCCGTCAGATGTGTATGCAACATGTTAGGTTGAGAAAGTTCAACACCCTCTCTCAAAATTAAAGAGTTGGCTCCCAAACAAATCCAGGAATTACATCATGGTCTTAATACAGGCGTAAGGTTGCCAGCCAATCACAGAGCTTATTATAATAATAGAAAACAGCAGTGTTAAATAGCACTCTGGAGAGATAAGCCTGAAGATATTTGCAATTAAAATCTGTTTGAATAGCTTTTTATACATGTTTGCACAACCTTTTCTTAAGTAGGCTTTAAATTTAACATTTTGGAAGCACGTTTTTGATTGTGCCATATTTAATTTGGTATCTGAAATGTTGAGATAGCGTATCTATCTATCTATCCATAAACAGAGGAAGCCATCAGACACCATTGTGTAAATTTAGCAAACAAAAAGACCCACCAACCTGAGAAAGTTTCCGATTAAAACCTCTACTTCCGGGTGTGACCTCAAATAGCTCTCGTTGTCGATTCTCGTTTTCACCTGAGAATAAAAAAAAAGGAAATGTAATTTCAGGCTCCTCATCAGCGGCGTAATTCACTGCGGCACCAGGCAGGTGTGAACAGCTAATGTAGCTCTTTACCTTGAACGCTCGGAGTTTCTCTTGCTGCTCGGTACTTAAAACATCGACGTCGAGTTTCGTCACACCACCTCGTCCAGCCATGATTCAAGCAGGTCAGTAATTTGTAAACATACTGCTCACCTCACTGTGTAGAAAAGCTGGCAATTTGGACGATTGAAGCCGTATCAAAAGCACGAAACAGGTCACCTGTTACTGACACAGCTTCTGTTACTATGGAAACGACCTCCGGCAACCAACCCCTGCGTCCAGGAGGTGGCAGCAGAGGACAGGAAAACAAGTGTTTTTTTCTTTTCTAACTCTATTTGGGGATTTAACATAATGTTCAGGTGATTTTAGAGCCATTAAAAACCCCAGTATCAGACCCACTACTGTCATATCTGAGTAGCCTATTACTGTGTTCTTTTTTTTCTTTCCTTATTTTTCTTGGTATGATTTATTTATTTTTGTAAAGTTCTTTATTTTATTTTATTTTATTATTATTATTTATTTTCTTTCTCGTCCAAGTATTTTGTTGGGTGTGTGTGTGTGTGTGTGTGGGGGGGGGGGGTAGTTTGGGGTGTGTTACTGCATCCTATATACCAACATAACTCTTAAATGCAACTCAGCTTCCTTTAGAGTTCGCAGGAAGGACTGCCCTTATCTGTACAGATGTGTTTATTGTTGACCTTGATGTTTTATTATTCAGAATGTGACTTCTAGGTACAGCTGTGGTTGTTTGTCGTCTGGATTAGGCTTCTCTCATGTTTGGATGTTTTGCAACATGTATGAGTGTTTTTGTTAAGGGTGGGTGGGGTGAAGAAAATAAAAATATTTCCCTGTACAGTAAAAGCTATTTCCTGTTATTATCTTTCAATAAAAATACCTTTGGAAGAAAACCCCAGTATCTTCTCTGGTTAGGTGACAAACAGTAAGACTAATCTTAAAAGGTGTAAAAACAGCCTTCTTTTAATCAAGCTGCTTGAGGGACCCAGACAAAAATGAAAAGGGCCTACTGTGGGACTTTAGAATTTGCCTCGTCTATCTGTATTCTGTTTACAGTGTTTCCATGTTTCTTTTCTTGTTGGAATACAGTCCTTGTTTTCAAGTGGTAATCACAATTTCAAATAAGAAATGCATAGAAGCAAATACAAGTTTACAATATTATCATATCATATCAAATAATTATTTTTTAAATTTTACATTATATTCTATTTTACTGTATATATATATATATATGTGTGTGTGTATTAGTAATTTGAGTGTTATTGCATGGCCTTGCGGAACAGTCTTTACATTTCACTGCACATCTGTATGAGCATGTGACAAATACAATTCTTGAATCTTGAATCTTATATAGGCCACAAACAGAAGATAACGTGGTGATAAAAGTGTCGGGATATAATTTTGCCTACAGTATCATTACACTTCAAACTGGCACAGATATAAGAGTTTTGCTAAAATACTAGGCTACTACTCTAGGTAAGCTATTTACAGCATAAGAGAGACAAACAACATAGCATTTTCTGATTTTGCTTCCAGCAGAAGAAAATGTCAAAGTCATTTGTCATCTGTTACTCTGATTTTGAATTAAAGAAGATTGTAGCGCTCTCCTTTCCGCCTGATCATCAAATCAACTTACAAGAAGTAAGTTATGTCTCCTGTCATTCACCCACTCTTCTTCCTCATCTTCTTCACTTTCAGCAGAGTGCTGCCCAAAGGTTGACTGAGGCTCTGAAGGCTCATCAGCAGCAGCTGCCATGCTGGAAATCCTGTCTCAGCCTAACTTTCAGTCTACTGAGACCTGGAGCTGAGTCACGTTTTAGGCCTTCTGACAAATCGTTACAGGATAATTGAATTTCAATATCACATTCATATTAACAGTCTATGATTTCAATAAATAAAAATGCCCCTGCTATAAAGAACCCCAACAGCTTGCCCAATCACAACTCTCTGACTACGTTAATGCGTAAATGTATCCCAGGATACAGACTACAAAAATCAGGTGTGATGTTGGACTGTTGTAGTAGTAAGAGGTGACACTGAGGGTGCTGAGGAGAAAAATAGTATCCAATTTTTTAGCACAGAACACATATCTACAAAATTGTGAAAATGAAAAACAAATGCGTTATAGATCAGTGTTTCCCATATGGGGGTTTGGGAAGCCCACCAGGGACTGACAGAACAAATATAACAAAAGAATTGAAACCAGAGGTTTATAAATATCCTGAGTGACAGGCCACTTTGGTTCTGGTTTTTGAGAAAATTATTCAATGTCTTTATTCAAGCTACATACAGAAGAGTTTATAGGAAACAAGAGGAAATAGAAAAGTTGATGATATGAAGCTGGTCTCAGAGTGAGGAAGTTTGGGTTATATGGTCTGCTTCACATATACCGTCACCACATACAAAATATGACTAATTGCAATTCTTTTTTTTGTTCAGATGTATACTGTCTCTCTCTCACTTCCAGTTTTTAAAACAAACAAACAAGAAATGCAACAAATGATATCACAATAATGATTGTAATTTAGCTCTTTTGTTGAATGCATGTTTTATTGTTTAGACTTTTGTTTTGTTTATGGTTGGGGCTCTATTGCTTCTATTACTGTACTGGTTTGGCATAACAAACATCAAAGGGAGAAAATCTGTATTTTGCCGCATGAATCTCCCTTTACAGAGTCCTCACACCACGCAAATAACTATCAATGATATTGTTTTAATTACCACTGTACTTCTTTCACACAAACATTCGTACTTGTTTCACACAACCATCAATCAACCTCTCAGATAATGACCTGCCTTTTACTGTATTAGATGATAGATTATTATACATGGTGATCCATAAACTAGTAAAATGGACAGAGCAGTAGCAGCTGCCTGGGAGTGAAGAAAAAATATGCTTACTGGCTGCAATAGCCCCTAGGTCATAAACATCCCCTCCTCTATGTTAACAGATTGGACATGGGTCAAACTAACAACTTATAAATAATAATAAACTCAAATTGCACATAAAATAAATTTTTGCCAAACCCAGTTTCATCATATTTCTTATTATCACAATTTTTTTGTGTGTGAAGTTTCTTTGCAATCAGTTCTGTTCTTGTTATGTGATTGTTGATGTTTAAGGCTTGAAATGTGTTGTAACAGGAATGGGAAACAACAGATAACCTGTACAGTCCCCAGAGTATCTGCCAAGCCTCTCGATGAGTCTCAGCCAGTGTGTCCATCCAGCTAAAGCTGCGTCTGGAGGCAAACGTGGCCAGGCCCCAGAAACCAGCCTTCCAAACCCTTCCAGTTCGGAATAAACCTCCCCTAATAGTACGTGTGTTATCCAAAATGTTTTATTTATTTTTGCTGAATTTCGATGGATTTGTGATCACTCCTTATTGGAACTAAGATGACCTAGTATGGCTTATTGTCTTTGTGTTGATTTACAATTGTTATTCATTGAAATAAACACTCTTGTTTTTTGCCTTCAGATCACACTAACAAACACGATGATTACTCACACTACTTTTTCAACTTGACTTATTTATGACTGCTTGCTTTCCGGTATAAACCTGTTGAGGTGTGTGTCCTGAGTATGTCTAAGTCTGAAGCTTCTGCTGATCTAAACCAAACAACTTTACAAAATCTCAGCCTTTCTCACAACCACAAATAATCAGGACAATGGATCCATTTTGATCAGTCTCAAAGGAAGGAAAACAGATACACAGTCAATGATGTCAGTGATTGTAACAGCAAAATTATTTTCGGACCTTAAACGAATAAGTAAACAGCAGGGTGTGACTCACATATTTGATAAAACTTTACAAAGTTACAGTATATACAAACAGAACATGAGGTGGTATTTAGATGTAGACCTATAATTTGGCCTACATCTAGCCTAAAGTATCAATACACTTCTCACTGGCACAGACATAATATATTTACTAAAAGACAAGTACTTCACAACAACAGAAACCTATATATAGCATAAGGTACAGAGAGATAGACAGGAGAAAAAATAGTCTTGAGTTTGCGTCCAGCAGAAAAAAAAGTAGATATTCTTTTTAGTCATCTGATCAACTGGTTATGAATTAAAAACACGGCAGTGTTGTCTTTTCTGTCTAATCATTACTACGTCTGGAGAAAGAAGTAACTTGTGTTGTTGAAGTGCAGGCTTTCTATCCGCTCTTTCACCTGCTCTTCTTCCTCTTCCTCATCGTCTTCGTCTTCACCCATTTCACTTGATTGGGGTTCTTTATAAACCGGAGGGGCAAAGGTCACCAGAGCCTTTACTTCTGGAGCAGATTGGACGGAGTGCTGAGGCTGAGGTGAGTCACCACATTTTGTAACAACGCTCTGCAGTTTAGACACAAATCTGTCCTTGTATCTGAAACAAAAAATAAGACTTGTAAATTCAAAACGAGCTGCATCAATATTGTAATCGAGCAACACTCAAAGTGAGCTACCACTTTAATATTCATGTAAGTTGTGATCTAAACCTCTGGCTAAGGACTTCTTGTATCTTTTTGACTCTTAACTCTCAGTCAGTGCCTGGCCTAACATATGAAATACACTGGACCGTGTATTGTCATATGGCTTTGGTGTATGTATAACCAAAATCTGTGATATACTCATTTTGAATTATTTGCCTATTTAATTCACTGCTACAGTCAACCTGCACTCCTGCAAAGTATGTCATGATGATGAAAACATGTTGACACTGTTGAAAAAAGCATTGTAATAATAATTGTAAAATTATTCTATAGTTATCGTTGTCATTATCATCTTTATTAATTCATGACACTAATTATTAGTTAACATTAATTGTTACTAATATTAGTACATAACATACCATCAACGTACACCATGATGTTACAAAATAACTGTTAATGCTACCCCCCCCCCCCTTTATTTCTCTGTTTTTTTATTTGTACTATTAATTATTTAATTTCTAACCCTATTCTCCTCCTCTGTATTACTAGCATGCTTCCTGGCCTCTCCTGGTGCACCCCCCACCCCCCATACTGAATCATGCTTCTGATGTACATTTAGTAAACAACATGCTAATCATTTTCACAGGATAAGTAATCTCAGTTTTCTGTGTTACTAACTTGTAAGTACCTGTTGCATAAACAATGATTTGCACATGCTTTAAAAAATGTAAATCCCCCACAGCTCCCCAAATTCCATATTCCCTGGCAAAGCAACAACAAAATGTATTCATTTATTTTTGTACAGCAGGAAATACAG